GTGCAAAAATGGTTCAGCAGCTAACAAAGATGGAACAAAGGGATAGGGCAGCTGCTGATAGAACAAGAAGTGTAAGAGGAACATAATGGTCAAGAATAATTTTGTTTGGGAACGGGGTTAATTGTTGTCATGATTTTAGCTTCTTGGAATATTAGAGGAATTGGGGGACGACTGAAGAAGGTGGAAATTCGACATCTATTTCACTCTAAAAAAGTTGATTTTCTGATGATTCAAGAGACAAAAAAAGAGTCAGTTGATAATAATCTAATTAAGTTGTTGGGAGGTGATGATACTTTTAGCTGGTCTTACGTTCCTTCTACCGGATTGTCTGGTGGTCTGATATCTATGTGGAAAAATTCTGTATTCACTGTTCATGAAATTTTCTCAGATTCAAATTTTATTGGTGTTAGTGGGTGGGTGGGGGATGAAAAGGTGTTCTGCACTATTGTCAATATTTATGCTCCATGTGACATAACTAGTAAAAAGAATTTGTGGAGGAAATTATTAGCCTGTAAACAGGAGCGAGGAGGTGACTTATGGTGTTTTGGTGGTGATTTTAACTCTATCAAATCAGAGAGGGAGAGAAGAGGGACCTCTAACTTTTGGAGGAGGGAAGATTCAACTTATTTTGCGGGTTTTATTGATATGGCTGAGTTGTTAGACATTCCGATGGTTGGAAGAAAGTATACATGGTACAAAAACGATGGATCTTGTATGAGTAGACTGGATAGGTTCTTAATATCAACAGAGTGGATGGAGAAGTGGAGTAACACATCACAATGGGGTCTGAATAGAGGTGTGTCTAATCATTGCCCAGTTTGTTGAAACTAGATGATGTTAATTGGGGACCAAAACCTTTTCGAGTGCTTGATTGTTGGCAATCCTCTCCACAATATTCAGATTTTGTTCTTAATCAGTGGAAGGGTATTTCTGTGGTAGGGACTGCTTCATTTGTTCTAAAAGAAAAGTTAAAGGCTATGAAAAATTTACTAAAGACGTGGAATAAGGAGTCTTTTGGGGAGTTGTCAGTAAAGATTTCAGATATGAGGGAGAAAGTTAATATGCTTGATATCAAATGTGAAGAGGATGGCCTCACAGCTGAGGAAGTGAATTGTAGAAAAGAGTGGACAGCTGCGTTATGCCATTTGTTATCATTGCAACATAGTTTGTTATTTCAGAAATCTAGATTAAAGTGGATCCAAGAAGGAGATGCAAACTCAAAGTTCTTCCATGCTTGCATCAATAAAAGAAGAGCCCGAAACAGTATTCATCATTTGAGAGTAGGTGCTGAGACCTATGGTGAACCAGTAGCTTTAAAAGAGGCTGTGAAGAGGCATTTTGAGCATCATTTTATGGCACTTCCAGGGAGGCGACCGACCTTAAATGGTGCCTATTTCAAATCTTTGTCACAGGAGGAAGCATCAAATTTGATTATACCTTTTTCTGAAGAAGAGGTGAAGGTGGTTGTTTGGGATTGTGGTGGTTCGAAAAGTCCTAGCCCTGATGGGTTTAATTTCAAATTTATTCAGGATTTCTGGGATGTACTAAAAACAGATTTTATATCCTTCTTGTATGAGTTCCACTCTAGTGGAAAACTTGTTAAAGGATCAAACAGCTCCTTTATTGTTTTGATTCCAAAAGTTGACTGCCCGCAAAAGGTGGAGGAATATCGACCGATTTCTTTGATTGGAGTTATGTATAAAGTTTTGGCTAAGGTGCTGGCAAATAGGTTGCGAAAGGTGATTGGGACTGTGATTTCAGAATGTCAATCAGCTTTTATAAAAGAAAGATTGATCTTTGACAGCATTATGATAGCCAACTAAGTTGTGGAGGAGGCTAGGAGGAAAGGTAAGTGTTGTCTATTTTTTAAAGTAGAATTTGAAAAAGCATATGACTCGGTTAGTTAGGATTTCCTACAATATGTGATGGGACGAATGGGGTTTCCTCTTATTTGGAGAAATTGGATAGCTGAATGTCTACATACATCTCGGATCTCTGTTCTTATTAATGGGAGCCCAACTTCTGAGTTTGGGCTTGGACGTGGTTTGAGACAAGGAGATCCATTAGCTCCTTTTCTTTTTCTTATCGTGGTAGAGGGGTTGAACTCTATGATGTCTAATGTTGTTCAAGCTAATCTTTTTATTGGCTACAAGGTTGGACGTGATAAAGTTCAATTATCACATCTACAATTTGCAGATGATACAATTATTTTGGGGGAATCTTCTATGTCTAATATTTGGGTTATAAAAGCTTTTCTGCAGTTATTTGAATTGGTGTCAGTTTTGAAAGTGAATTTTCATAAAAGTAAGTTGTATGGTGTTAATGTGGGTCAAGGGAGGCTTGAAGTGTTTGCAAAGTTCATGAATTGTGGAGTTGGCTCAATTCTTTTTATTTATCTTGGTCTATTGGTGCGAGTCCAAGGAAAAAGGAAACCTGGAAGCCAGTTATTCAAAAGGTGCAAAAGAGATTATCTATGTGGAAGTGTAAAAACTTGTCTTTTGGTGGTCGTTGTACTCTGCTGCGATTTGTTCTCAATGTCATTCCAATTTATTATCTTTCCTTTTTTAAGGCCCCGACAGGTATTATTTCTCAATTACATTCCTTATTTAGATCTTTTTTGTGGGGAGGGAACCGAGAGAAAAATAAAATAGCTTGGGTGGGTTGGGAGGAGGTTTGTAGAGACAAGAAATTTGGGGGTTTGGGGGTTCGGGATGTGGGTGCTTTCAACTTAGCTCTATTAGGTAAGTGGAGATGGCGTTTTCTTGTTGAAAAGGAAGGATTGTGGCATACGGTGTTAACTTCCATTTATGGAGAGAGGACTGTTACTGGGGTGGGTGGTGAGAAAGTCAGGGGATCTAGGTGGTGGTATGATATTTGGGGTATTGAGAGTGACATACATGTTACGTCTGATTGGTTTTCTAAGGGTTGCGTTAAAGAGGTGGGTAATGGGGAAAACATTATGTTCTGGGATGAGGTTTGGAATGGTAGTGGTGCTTTGAGCACTCGGTATGCGCGACTCTATTCAATATCCAATAATAAGTCGGCAACTTTAGTAGACATGTGTCTAAGGCGTGAAGGGAGTGTGGTCTGGAATTGGTGTTGGCGAAGGGATCTCTTTCAGTGGGAGGAAGATCAATTGCAACTCTTGTATTTGGAATTACAAAGCGTAAAGTTATCTGAAGAAAATTTTGATGGCTGGAGGTGGAAACATGATTTGGGAGGCTCTTATTCTATCAAATCTGCCTATCAAGTTATAATAAACCAGTCTATATATGCTGATTTTCCTATGTATAGATATTTTGGGTCCAAGTTGATCCCCTCCAAGGTCTCTAGTTTTGGTGGGAGGGTTATTCTAGACAGAATTCCAACAAAACAAAACCTAATTAAACGAAAGGTTCTACCCTCTAATGTAGCATCTTGTGTTTGGTGTGGTATATGTGAGGAAACCTCATCCCATCTCTTTTTTTGAATGTTTCTATGCTTTTAAAATATGGATGTCTTGTCTTCAATGGTTTGGATTCTCCTCTGTTCAGAATCATACTGATTTGGCTAATTTCGAGCAATTTGTGGGAGTCCCAAATTGTAATGTTGTTAACCGGGTGCGATGGTCTTCTCTTTGGTTGGTAACATTATGGTCAATTTGGCTTGCAAGGAATGAGGCAGTTTTCTCTCAAAAATTTATGGATCCTGAGGAGGTGGTGGATTTAATTAAGCTGAGATCTTGGAATTGGTTAAGGGCTAAAGATTCAGCTTTTCAATACCTTTTTGCCCTTTGGTCTAATAACTCATTCTCTTGCTTAAATTTCTCCTGATATAGTTCTTCATGTCTTACTTTCTAAGTGTTGACTGCTGTTGTCTTATAATTGTTGTTTGAAGATCAATCTGTTGATGGTATTTTATTTCTTGTCGTTGCTGTCTTAATCTATCGTTTGAGATGCTACTGTCATTGAACTCACTACTTTCGAGAGTTACTAATGTCTAGCAACAGTTATCCAAGCACTTGATTGTACTCACTGGGTAGTTGGCATTTTTGTTTAGTTTCATATATCTATGTCTAAGATTTTTGAAGTTAACCTTGTGTATTATGGGTTAGAGTACCCATTTGTACTCTTTTCTAATATATTTTTTCTTTGCCTAACAAAAAAAAAAATCCAGTCACTATAAAAAAATTAAAAATACCCAAAAAAAAAAAAAAACTTTTACCAAGTCACCGAAGTTAGTCCAACTCACATTTTAACGATTAGACTCAAAATTATAAATGTATTAAATTGGAAGACTAAAGTTAAAAATTAAAAAATTAAAATTGTGGATTAGAAATTACAAGAAGAAATGAAATAAAATTTATTGTATTGTATTATAGCAGATATTAACCTATCAAGACACTTCTTTTAGAGTGAAGAGGTTTTAATCAACCTTTTTACAACTTTCAATTATGTCAAGAGTCCCACATAACTGAGATAGGACTTCCAACAATGTTTTTTCCATTTGACCATTCTAAACGCCCAAAACCAAAATGACTCGGTGGTGGTGGATCTGATGTCGTAAATGTTACTGTATATGATTTATTCTCATTTTTGTTAAAGCTCAACACGCTTGGCTCTACCGTGATATTGACAGATGGAATATCCAACGTAGTCGATACCTTGTATGTTCCTGCGGCCGCCACATTAGTTAGAGTCCGCGTGTGTTTAACAGTCGTTGCACCATTCCCACTCGCTATTGGTTTAAACACCACACCAAATGAAGGGTAATTTAAGTCCGTTACACTGTAGCGTTTTTGTGCATCACATGTGAACTTTCTCCTAGCCACGACCTCAATCATATCAGATGAGTAGTTTAATGCACAAAGGAGGTTGAGATAATCATCCGCTGTCAAATCATAGACAAGCCCTGGATTAAGTGCAGCAACCGGGTTCACATGTCCAGCACCAACATCAAACGGTGTTGATGGCCCGTTTGTGGCACTATCCAGCAGTTTTTGACCATCGTTGTAAGTTGCATAAGCTGTGGTCATTAGTGCAGAGCGAATCGCAGCTGGGCTCCAATTTGGATAAACCGACTTGACCAAAGCCGCTATACCGCTCGCGTGAGGACATGACATGGATGTGCCCGAGAGTATGTTGAAGTCCACGCGCCTATTATCTTGGACCATGTTAGTGGGACCTACAAGCTCCGTCCATGCTGCTAAGATGTTGACACCTGGCGCAATGAGATCAGGCTTCAATATCTCTGGTGTGATTTTACTTGGGCCTCGAGAGCTAAATGCTGTGACAACCGGTGCTGGCTTAATTCCAACTCTTGTTCCTTGAAACACAAGTGTAGCTGTTGGTTTTTGAGTCGATGTTAAGTACTCTTTTAAGGCTTTCGCAGCCTTGAAGCCCACTGCAGAGGCTGGTAAAAGATGGGCTTCTGCGACCAATTCCTCTCCGTTGGATTCCACATTGGCCAACACCATGCCCAAACCACCAGCAGATTTCACCACGAGTCCTTTCTCCACCCCAGAATTTTGTCCTTGGTCACACAGCACAATTTTCCCCTTAACCTTTTCCGGATCCAAGCTATCTAACTCACACACCTCTCCACCCTTATTTGCGCTTGCATTCCCTGCGTATATGAATGACACAGGAGTATTGGGCAAATACTTGCCATCATAAAGTGACACTCCAGAGAAGTTTTGTCCGTTCCCGAGGATAACGTACGCTGGGAAATCACGATCTATTGTGCCAGCTCCAACAGACATCATCCAAGGTGCTATATTTTGGACAGTATAGCGATAAGGACCTGTGTTCCCAGCAGCGCATGAAACTATAATCCCTTTCTCCATTGCTGCAAAGGCTCCAATTGCGAAGTGGTCGACGTCGTAATCCACTGCTTCTCCTCCGAGTGATGCTGAAATGACATTAACGTTGTCAGAAATGGCGGCGTCAAGTCCTGCCATTATATCAGACTCAACACAAGAATCTCCCCAACAAACCTTGTAGACAGCCACTCTCGCGTGTGAGGCCATCCCACGAGCCGTACCGGAAGCGAAACCGAAGAGGTTCGCGCCATTCACTGCAGACCCTGCAGCTATGCTTGCAGTGTGGGTGCCGTGGCCGTCATCGTCTCGTGGCGATTTAGAATGCTTGATATCAGTAACAGGACCCATCGAGACCTCGTAACCTTTTACGAAGAACCTAGCTCCTATCAATTTCTTGTTGCAATTTGAAGCAGTGAAATTGTCACCTATTTCACATTCGCCTTTCCAGTTACTAGGGATGGGTCCCAGTCCGGTGTCGTCGAAGCTCTTGCTTTCGGGCCAAACACCAGTGTCGAGGATTCCGATAATGACGTCACTTCCTTGATTTGATTTGGGAAATATATTAGCGATTTTATTGAGCCCAAGGAAGTGCGGTGTTCGTGTTGTGAGTGGCTTGTAAATTTTCTCCGCTACCACCTTTAGAATCCCAGTTCGGCTCTTTAGCAACAAGGCTTCTTCAGGTGTTAGTCTTGTTGAGAATCCATGAATCGCGTTTTCGTACGTGTAAAGCATTTTTGTCGAGTTGGATATTGATTTCATAATCGATTCATACCAGACTGAGTGGTGATCGAAGCTTGTTGGCATTTCGGATTTAGCCACGTGGACAATGTACGTACTTTGTTGGTTCTCCGTTTTCTTCTCAATTGTAGCTAGAGAAACATCGCAAAGTACCAAAAACAAAACAAAAATAGTTGCACAGAAAGATTTCTTAAACGTCTCCATGTTAAGCATTTTTGTTTCAAGTGAGACTATGAGAACAGTGTAACAGAGAACTTGGTTGAACAAAGGACCCGTTTTTAATATATATAAGAGTATAATTGTTTGTCACACGAAACAAGATATTTACAAATGATACAAAAATTAATAGTAAATAAAGAGTTACCAGTTTTTTTTTTTTACCAACCTTATTCCTGTTTTTATTTAAATTATATTATTAAAAGAATAAGATAGAATATTTAATAAATTTTAAAGCATTTATTATTAAGAATTTTTTCAAATACTAATATTGTCAAAAAATGAGAAGGTCTAAGTTTGATGCTCACCGTGTTTTTGTAATATAAAAGAAAAAAAATAATATTGTCAACCAGATGTATTAAGAATTTTTAAGTTGAGCAACTATTTGAAATTAAAGTGGTTAGAAGTTGGAACTAAGGTGATAGGGAATAGTATTTCATAAATAGTATAGTGTGATGTAGTTGATAAATAATATATTTCATAATCATTGAAAGTGCATGTTCTAAACTTGTAGTTTAGTGAGTAATTTTGAACATAAAGTTACGTAAAATTTGGAGAGAAAAAAATTGTGATTTATAATGGTTAGTATTGTTTCTTGCTAAAGATACCATCGATCTTTGTAAAAAAAAAAAAAACATATTTTTTAAATATGTGTTAAGTGTTCAATTAATCTTTAAAGTAAGTATATATGCATGAAATATTTGTTAGAAAAAATAATGAATCTTTAAGCGGATATTCGTTCCTCAATAGATACGTTAAGCAATCAAAAAAATAAATTAAAAAAATAGTTACGTTCTTTTTTTAATTCGTTCATGAGGCTATTAATTAAGATACGCAACAACGTATGCATGCGTTTAATTTATTAACGTTTCCTTTTAAACGTTTGAGTATTATATATATAAAATAAATAGTTAAGTTTATATAATAAAAATTATAATAAATATATGTTTAATATATATATATATATATATATATATATATTATATTTTGATTTTGCAATAATTATTTTTTGTTAAATTACAATAAATAATTTAAATTATGTTATAAATTTATTTTTAATTATTGATAGCTTCTTTTAAAATAAAATATTAAAATTCAATTCCGTGATAAAAATAAAAAATAAAAATGAAAGACATATTAAGCTAAGAAAATTAAGTATACATATAAAAAAAATTAGAAGAGAAACACATTCACTCTTAAAAGTTTTTTTTAACACCAATTCACTTTGACTTTTAATGTTGAATTTTGATTTGATCCTTTAATATTTTGAATTTTTTAACTTCTTTTTATTACAATTTTTATTTCGTGTGTGTGTAAATTAAATTAATAATTTTAAAATAAATTATCAAAAATTCAAATAATCTTGAATCATGATATAAATTTTTTAAAATATAAAATATAATTTATATGTTCAAAAATATTTAATTGTATTAATTTTAAATTAATATAATTCATATTAAAATATAAAATAATTATTATTTTTATATAATTTATTATAATTTTTGTTTATTTATAATAAACATTTAATCTATGTATAACACATACTTAAAATACAAGAGTTATAACCAATCTTTCTATCATTGAGTATTTGCTTAAAATAAAATAATCTTTTAATGATACATGAGACATTTTATATTTAGGTATAAATTATAATAGTTTGTTAAATTATAATTGATATCTAATAATCACAAATAATACAAGCAAAAAATAAAAAAGTATAGAATATTTTATGATGAGAATGTGCAATAAACAAAGAGACCATAAAATGTAATAAAATAAATTTTAATGAAATATATATACATAAAATGATATAGACATTATATTGTATGGTAAAAAAATAATGTAGACAATAATGAATTGTACCAACAATAATAAAATTAAAAAATAAAATGTATAACTTGAAGTTCATGAAGAAAAAAAATAGAGAAAATGAGTATAAGAGAAAAAAGTTGTTAATATCTTTTATACATAAACTAAAGAACAAAAAAACAATCGATTAAATATATCATAAATCATAAAATAAACATTAAAAAAAATACTTTACAGTGGCACTATATTTATCACTAAAAATTATTTTTATCTACATTATAAATACAATATATATTAATATATTATAAAATCATATAATTATGATACTTAACAAACTAAAATTATTCAATTAAAATTTTAAAAATTAAAATTAAATAATTACAATACTTATAAAATTAAAAAATGCAATTAATTCTAAACATCTTAACTTTAGAAATATGATGTATTATTCTCGATGACAAAACTTTTTAATGACTCATTGATGTAGATTATGAAAAAGTCTCATATTTAAAAAAGCATTAGCTTGAAAAAGTATGCATTAATTATAATGTTGGAAGACCTTTCAACGGTGACTCGTTGAACAGTAAAATATGGATTATGATGAAAAAGTCTTATATTTAAAAGCACAATTTGAAATAGAATGTATATATTAATTATAATGTTGAAAACCTTTCAATTAATCATTAAATAATAAAATAAAAATTGAAAAATGTTCTATGAAGAATTAATATTAACGTTATCTAACTTTTTTTTCATAATTAAAACTTTTTCAAAATTACAAAATTTTATAAGTTTTGCATCTTATTAATTAGTGGTATATATAAATGAATACGAGTAACGCGAAAACTCAAACCGATTTAAAGTTAATTTTATTTCATTAACACAAATTAACCTTATTAATTTTTATTAAACATAAAATTTTTCGTGTGTTTCACACATTCAAATTGTTTATTAAATATTTCAATTTTTTTCTAAATTGATTATAACACTTAGTAATTAATAATTAATAATAAAACATTAATTTTACATCATGTTTTATCGTTAATTTTGTGAAAGCTTTTCTTATGTTGTCAACTTTTTCTTATTTTTATTTAAATTTTAAATCAAATAGTATTAACAATTAGCAAATATGTATAATTAGTAATTAGTTGTAAAAATAGTAAATATATAGTATTTTGTAATATAAATATATAATTATTTGCATATAAAAAAAATTATTTACATTTTTTAATTATATATATTTTTGACATATATAAAAAACTACTTTTACACTTTCATAAATTAAAATTACAAAAAGCTAACTTCTAGAAGTTTTGGAGAGAAAGAAATGCGATAAAAGTTGTTCGCTTAAATGATATCGAATATAATGAATATATTAATTTGTTAAATAAATGTACAATAATTTATATGTTAAAAAATAGTAAATATATTATTTTGTAATATAAATTCATAATAAATTTTCTATAAAATTTCTTATTTACATTTTTGAAATCATATATATTTTTGAAATATATATAAAATACTATTATGTTTTAATAAATTAAAATTGTAGAGAGTAAACTTATACATAATAGTAGTTGAATAATAAATAATAAATTAAAATGATTTTAACTTTATTGTATGAACTTTATATATGAAAATATGTTGGAGGGAAGTTTTTGAAGGAAATAATTAATGCAGAAATTATTCTCTTTATATATACTATATCAATGAGTTTGTTCAGATTTTATGAGGGTTTCAAGTTATAATGACTACATTTTAATAACTACATTAAAATTCATATTAACAAATAATTTTTGATTATTTGGTAAATAAGATTTTACATTAATTCTTATTGAATTATAATGATATATCATTAGTTAATCAAGACACTCCTCTCTCCTATTACAACGAAGAATGTTACAATTTTCTACGACGTGCTATTGTCCCATAAAATAGAGATAGGACTTCCGACAACATTCTTTCCATTTGACCATTCTAATCGTCCAAAGCAGTTAATTTGATTTACTAACACGAACGTTACTGTATACGATTTTTTCTCATTTTTGTTGAAGCTCAACACCTTTGGCTCAACTGTGATATTGGCACATTCGAAATCCAACTTAAACGACACCTTGTATGTTCCTGCGGCACCAACATTAGTAAGAGTTCGCGTGTGTTTAACAATCGGTACTGCACCGTTCCCACCCGCAATTGGTTTAAACACCACACCAAATGAAGGGTAATTTAAGTCCGTTACGCTGTATTGCTTGTGTGCATCGCATGCGAACTTTCTCCTCGCAACAGCCTTGATCCTTTTAGGTGTGTAGTTTAATGCACAAAGGAAGTTGAGATAATCGTGTGGTGTCAAATCATAGACAAGCCCTGGATTAAGCGCAGCGACAGGGTCCACGTGTCCGGCACCGATATCAAACGGCGTTGACGGAAGGTCTGTGGCACTATCAATTAGCTTCTCACCGTTGGCGTAAGTCGAATATGCTGTGGTCATTAGCGCAGATCGAATCGCGGCTGGGCTCCAATTTGGATAAACCGACTTGATCAGAGCCGCTACACCGCTCACGTGAGGGCATGACATGGATGTGCCTGAGATTATGTTGTAGTCCACGCGCCTATCGTCTTGGGCGAGATCAGTGGGACTCGCAAGCTTCGTATACGCCGCTAAGATGTTGACACCTGGCGCAATGAGATCCGGCTTCAATATCTCTGGCGTGATTGGGTTTGGGCCCCGCGAGCTATATGACGTGACAACCGGCGATGGCTTAATTCCAACCTTGGTTCCCTTAAACACAAGGCTAGCCGTTGTTGGTTTTTCAGAACGTGACAAGTAAAGCCTGATGGCATTCCCGTCCTTGTAACCCACGGCAACTGCTGGCAAAAGATGAGCATCTGCTACTAATTCTTCTCCGTTGGATTGGGCGTTGGCCAACACCATGCCCACACCACCCGCGGATTTCACCACAAGTCCTTTCTCTGCCCTAGAACTACCTCCACGATCACACAACACAATTTTCCCCTTAACCTTTTTAGGATCCAAGCTGTCTCTCTCGCACTCCTCTGCACCTATTTTTACACTTGCATTCCCTGCATATATGAATGGCAGGGAGGCAGAACTATCGGGAAAATGACTATGACTATTACCATCGTAAATTGACACTCCATAATAGTTTTTTCCATTCCCGAGGCTAACGTACGCCGGGAAATCACGATCAAGTGTGCCCGCTCCCACGGTGATCACCCAAGGTGCTATGTTTTGGACAGAAGAGTTTACTGGTCCTTCGTTTCCTCCAGCACAGGAAACTATAATCCCTTTCTCCATTGCTGCGAAGGCTCCAATTGCGAGGCTTTCGACGTCGTAATCGACTGCTCCACCTCCGATTGATGCGGAAATGACATTGACGTTGTCAGCGATGGCTGCATCCATTCCAGCCAGTATATCAGAACTGGCACAAGTATCAGCCCAACAAACCTTGTAGATAGCGACTCTAGCACGTGTGGCCATCCCACGTGCGGTACCAGAAGCGTACCCGAAGAGGCTCGCGCCTTCCACTACAGACCCTGCGGCTGTGCTTGCGGTGTGGGTGCCGTGGCCGTCAGAATCTCGTGGCGATCTAACCTGGTTGGTTTCGTTAAGGGGCAATTTCATTGAGGCCTCGTAGCCACTTATGAAGAACCTGGCTCCTATCAATTTCTTATTGCAGTTTGCGGCACTGAAATTGGTGCCTGATTCACATTTGCCTCTCCAACTCCCAGGGATGGGTCCTAGTCCAATGTCGTTGAAACTCTTACTTTCGGGCCAAACACCAGTGTCGAGGAGTCCGATAACGATGTCACTTGTTGCATTATTTGATTCTGGGAACATATCAGCGATCTTATCGAGCCCGAGGAAGTGCGGTGTTCGAGTTGTGAGTGGCTTGTACATTTTCTCCGGTTGCACTTTTAGAATCCCGGGTTGACTCTCGAGTAAACGGGCTTCGTCAGATGTTAGTCTCGTTGAGAATCCATGAATCGCGTTGTCATATGTGTAGAGCGTTTCTGCGGAGTCAGATATGGATTTTATGATAGATTTATACCACACTGAATGGTGATTTAAGCTTGCTGGCATTTCGGATTTGGCCACATGGACAATGAAAGTACTTTTTTGTGCGGGCTTCTCGATTGTTGCCAGAGATACATCGCAAAGAACCACGAACAAAACAAAAATACATGGAAAGAAAGGTTTCTTAAACCTATCCATGCTAAACATCTTTGTTCGAAGTGACAATGTGAGAGGATTGTAACTGTAACAGAAAACTTGGCATAATAAACAAAAAAGTGTGGGGTATTACAAAAAAGAGAAGAGAAAAATATAAAGGGCAGTGTGATCAGGGAAGAGAAGCAAGCTGGTTAGTGCACGTTATTTCTTTTTCTTCTCATGTAACAACAAATACGGTTTCATTGCATCACATAAGCGTTAAACTTTTGACTTTCTTGGACTTGGGAGTGCACTGTTACAACTTTCAATAATAAAATTGGTGTAATTTTTTTAAAAATAAATAATTGAGAATACTAATATATAACTTATAAAACATTTAATATTAAAAAAAAGAAATACAATGGTGAATATTGTCAATAAGACATTTATCAAGGATTCAAAATTTTAACACTTAAATATGTTTATCATCGATATAAATTAAGCAAGTTTTATTTAGTCGAATACTAGTCGAATACAAAAATATATTAAGATTTACTAGTTTCTTCATCTTTTTAAGGTGACCAACTTCCTTATTCGAATTTAAATTAAATAAAAAATATTCTATTCCTTTTTTATTTTGTTTCAAGCTGACAAAAACTTAAGAAATATATTTAATATATTTGATTTTTAAAATAAATCACTTTCTTAATATGTTTTAAAATTCTCACACAGGATTAAAGAACTTGTTAACAATGGTTAAAAGTATAATAGAAAAAAAATATTTAATGTTTAATTAATATTGTAAAATGATAATCAAATTGAAACAAATAGAAATTGTTAAAACATCAAACAAGAGGAAGTAATATTTAATAAATTGATTTTAATATGTTTTTAGTTCATTAAATTTATGATAAATCTATTTGATATTTCAAATTTAAAATTATTATTTTTAATCTTATAATTTCAAAAAATCTTATTTTAATCTTTGGAACCATAAATGACCTTGCCTCTGTCTTATTTAACAATGGACCTTTGATCATTCCCTAGAGTCGAGTGAAGTCATAAGTGTTGAGATTCAAGCTTGAAAAGCATGGAAACAAAGATCGAAGTGTTATGCAAAGTTTTTTGAAGATAGATCAAAACTTGTTTTCTTCTTTCTTCCTCCCTTTTCTCTTGAATTTTGAGGTAATGGAAGCTAGAACTCATTTTTTTGTTAATCTATGGGATATGTGCGGCTCAAAATTTACTATATTCGTGGATGTGGTGATTGTTGGACTAGAAATTGAAAAATTAGAGTCTTGGTATTCTTGATGCATGTTGAGATGAATTTGGTGAAATTTTGTTTTGAATGGTAGCATGTTAATTTTGTTGTTGAAATTAACTTGGTTGTTTGAAATGCATGAATGTGTTGTTTTACATTGCATGTTGGAAATCTTTTGAGTTTTAGGTAGATTGAGCAAAAACTCGAATCTCGCAAGTGCAAAATTCATCATCGTGTTGGGCACAACTTCAAGACGTCAGGTGTAATGTAAGCTAGAGGCTCCCTGGCTCACTAATGCTAAGCGCAGGATTGGTAGCACTAGACATGAGTTAGAAAAACACTCTTTGACTTGATCACGTAGGACGTAGGCTGAATGGCATCGGACGTCGATGCATTTGGAGCTCCCTGACTTGGTGATGTCAGACCCTAGTTGAGTAGCGCCAAACATGATCATGATAAAGACTTTTTACCTGTAACATTGGACATGAGTCAGGCAAAGACTCTATGCCTGAACAAGGTCGAACGTGGGTTTTGGCCATGTCAGACATGATTGACCCAAAAACTCTTTGCCTCATTCACGCTATATGTGAGTAGATCGATGTCAAGCGTGGATGAGAAAGAGGCTCTATGCCTAACTGACGTCGTGCGTAGGGTGAATGACGCCAAGCGCGGGTTGCCTAATGAATATGTGTTGAATTGTTAACTAAGTGTTGAACATGAATATGTTGTTAAACCTTTATCATGTTGTATATTGATGTAAGATGTTAAGTCTTTATACATTGATCTAGGATAATGTATATTGATAATTGAATTATTGAGAGTTGTAAGTTGAGTTGTATGTTGAAACGTTGAGGTGGTTGTGTTAAGAATGCTCAAGGCATTATGTTGAGCTATGTTGATTAACTTAAGATTAGAGGAAAGATTGTTTTAAAAGTTGAATATCCCATTGTGAGGATATTGTGTTGTGGTTCTCTACAAGCCTAATTATTGAAAACCCTTATTGAAAAGTTGGCTCTTGAAGCGAATTATTGAGTTTCCTCTATGACCTTAGTTGATGTGATATGGGGGCAAAATCGAGTATTCCTGTTCATAGGTGACCATGGTATAGGGGTTAGGTTGAGTTATACTAATTATAAAGCGACCAAATGTTGATTAGTATGGGATCAGGTCGAGTCATACATATACAAAGCGACCAAATAAAGTAATGTACAAGATCAGGAGCTAAAATTCCTAACTAAATATTGGAAGAGGCATAGTATTTGGAGGGTAATAAGTGGGTTAATCTCATAGGAGACTTAGTTATGCATGCTAGGGTCGTGGTTGCTCACACCTAAAGTTTTATACCATGATAGGAATATTAGATTTTTCTAGTTTAAGTGGTGAAATCTAAAAAATCATTGTGTTGTGGATTAGAGCTATCAAATAATGGACTTTAACTTGTGGGTCAATCCAAGCCACCTTTGAAAATAGGTCAGGCTGAGCAAAAAAACAACTTCATAATTGACCAAAAAAATCAAATCGACCCACTTTTAACCCGATCCACCCGGAATAAATCCATGGTGAGTCGAGTTGTCCACCTAACCCATTTATAGATCCCATCAGTCCAACTGACTTAGCCATTTATTGTTATATATGTATTATTTTAACAATGTACCATTTTTTTGTAGACGAAGATAAAGTTGACGTTAAACAACATGAAATTGTTATATTGGAGGATATTCTTGTATTGAAGGATATTTTAGATTGAATTTTATTTTAAATAAGTTTTTTTTTTTAAATTGGTGGGATGGTGACCAACTCGTTTAGCTCACCAACCCGTGGTGGGTCAAACATGATTGAAAAATTTTAGGCATTAATGCACGTGAGTTGGGCCAGGCTAACTCAGTTATCATGTAGATTGAGGTGAGTCAGACAAAACGGGTCAGACTAGGCTGTATTGACAACTCTATTGTGGATTTTTATCCAACTTAGTTGTTGATTAACTAGCCTAAAAAGATTGCGTTATTAGTTGATTTGGTACAGTCAAGCTACATAGTAGGGATGGCAACGGGGCGGGGCGGGTACGGGTTTCATGTTCCCGTCCCCGCGAGTCAAACCCATCCCCGCCCCCGTACCCATACCCGTCAGGTATGTAATTTTCATCTTCATCCCCATCCTCATCGGGTATCGGGTATATCCGTACCCGTACCCGTACCCGTTAAATTATTTATTTATTTATTTATTTATTAAAATATAATATTTTTAAATTACTTTTTTAATTATATTATAATTATAATTAGGTTATTTCTCTATCTTATATTATAATAAATAATTACACATAAAAAATACTATAATTATTTAATATAATTAAATTGAAAATTAGTATTAAATTAAAAATGGGAACGGGGACGGGTACGGGTACGGGTATGGGGCGGGTAAGTACATACTCGATCGTACCCGTACCCGTCCCCGTCAAAGTCTGGACAGGTTCGGATATTACCCGCGGGTACGGGTATATTTGTCATCCCTACTACTTAGACTGCTCACATATGTTGTAAAAGACCTCTTAGTTAAATACATAACGATACGCATAGTTGGTATTTTTTAATACTAGTTCATACTTACATGTTTCATTGTAATTAAACTATGATCATATTTTATATGGGAGTGGGTAGGGATAAGATAAAGGAGGAGGTTGAGTTGAGAGCCATGTTGGATGACAGTGTAGTTTGATGTTACTTTTTGTAGCTATTTTATACTATATATGTGTGTGCGTAAGATATGTTGTAGTTCCATTGAGAGATATTTTATGATTTTCAATCGATTTTAAATTTCTATACATATATATATATTATTACATATATATCTAGGAATCACTTGCATATTAATCCTAGGTAGCTATATTTATGATTCTCAGAATGAGTAGCTAAGTTGTAAAGTGTAGAGATCTTTTAATTTAACAGTTGAATTGTTAAAATTTATTACACATCATAAGTTATTGAGAGAAATAACTTTATTAAGAGTTATTGAAGAGAGATCAAAGGACTCCAATATGAGAAGGAATCAAATGACTCTAAGAGTAACTCTCGGTAATGTTATTTTATTCAATAACTTATGGTGTGTGTTGAATTTCAATAATTCAACTATTAAATTAAAAAAATTTAATGTATAAATTAAAGTTTACAAATTTTTAAAATATTTAAAAAATATATATGATATTTCGTTATATAAATTCAAATTAATGTATAAATTTTTTTTATGATTATCATTCAATTTAAATTAATAAAAAAAAATCAAATAATTTTTAAAATTATGAAAAATTTGGACCTACCGAATGATTACAATACAAGGAAATATCATTAATATTTAAAGCATAACTAATTAATGTCAATATTGTCAACAAGAAATTTATTAAGGATTTAAAATTTTAATGCTTTTCTGTCAAAAAAAAAATCTTAATTAAACGTGTTTATAATATATGAAACTAAGAAAGTTTTAATTTAGTTGAATACCCAATATATAGTAAAAGAGTTACGTGTTTGTTCATCTTTTTAAGTTGATGAACTTCCTTATTTGAATTTAAAATAATTAATTAAATGAAAGATAATATTTAATAGAGTTTAAAAAATAATCTTCTTTTTATGAAATTTTAAATACAAATATTAATAATCTCATTAATGTAAAATTTTAAGATTTAAATATATTTCTAGTACATTAAAAATAAATAAATTTTGATTTTGTTTAAAAAAAATAGTCAACATATATTATTTCTTCACTTTTTTAAGTTGACCTTCCTTATTTGAATGTAAATTGAATAAAAGATAATATTTAATAGATTGTTATTTTATATATAATATTTAATAGAGTTTTGAAAATTCTGGTATTTAGGAAAATTTAAATACAAATACTAATATTGTCGATCCATTCAGGATTCAAGAGTTAAAAAATATTAAACCATTCTTGAATAAAATATTTTTTTAATCATTATAAAATGAGAATATTTTAGGAAAATATAAATATTAATACTGTTGATAAGATACATTGAAAAATATTAAATATTTTTATTAAAAGTACTTTTTTTTAGTAATTCTTAAAGAGAGTTTATTTTTAATTAGTAAGCCATGTATTTTATCTATGTATTTAATATCTTATCTTTTCATTAATTAATTCTGTATTCACAAGAATTGAACTTAATATTAGGTGGTTTACAATAATTCACACATTTCATTTTTAAGCATTTGGATTTCGCGAGAATTATAGTGTTCAATAATAATTTCATTGTCTTTTTTTATGCGCACAATAATGATAATAATTTAATTCTAAAAACTTATACATATTATCTCGATATCAATAGCTCCTCTTTATTACACCGATCTTAATGGTTTTGAATGATTTCATTGTTAAGTGTATTGATTTGTGCATTTTGAAATAAAAATATCACATGCAAAAGATAAATAAAAAGATTATTTTCTGTACTACTTTTTATGATTTTGAAAATAACTAAAGTCAACATTAAATAATATTTTTATAATAAAAAATGATTAAATTTTTGTGTATTTATTTATTATATCTGTAAATTTTAATTTGTTAAAAATAATTATCATATGCATAAAACAAAATAAAATACTACTCTTTCACTATTTTCTTTTTTAACATTGGAAATAATTAAAGTCAAGACATATGGAATAACATTTCTTGAAATAAGAATATAAATATAATTTTTCCTTAAACAAAAAACATTTTAAATACTCCGTCATCTTATTTTGTTATACATTTAAAAATATTGACACATAAATTAAGAAATACAAATAATGTTTTAAATTTCATAAAATTTGTTATATAATTTCCTAATATGTATCAGGCCTTCCATATCGATTGCATTTTCTCTCGTATGTATAGTTTTCTTTTATTTTCTCACTTCATAATAAATGATTAAGAATATGATAGAAAAGTAGGATAATTCACTATATTAATAAAAAAAAGATTGAATTTGGTTAAAAAGTCAGTTATAAAAAACAGTAAATATAGGATAATTATCATTATTTATAAGGAAAAAGAAATTTTTTAATCACAATTATAATATTGTTGTAAAAAAAAACCACAATTATAATGTTGTTGAAATTAGTATGCAAATAAAAATAAATAAAATAAAATTAGACACTGTAGAAATCTCGTTCACTCATATAATAATTGATATTGTGATATTATTTTTGGCAATTATAATTTATCTTTCAAATTAAGTATTATAAAAAAAATTTACATCCTCAAGCTCTACAAAGTTTCTACTATATATGAAATTATTATAGAATAAATTGACATTGATAATTTAAAGTTATATTTAATTACATATATATATTTATAAATAAGAATAAACCAATATTAATATCAATTGTAAGATAGAGTAATTGATGATTTGAAATTACAATTAATTAGTATTTGTATGTATTAACCATTACACTAATTAAAAGATTGAATTTGATTAAATTTTTAGTTATAAAGTAATTAATTATATAATATTTTTTGATCAAAATATAATAATTAATTATTATTCATTATAAGAAAAATATATAATTTTATTGGTCAAGACTATAATGTTGTTATAATTAATATAGAGTAATTGATAATTTAAAATTATATTAAGTTATATATATATATATATATATATATATATATATTAACAGAAACATAACAATATTATATTTAAATGAAATAGTATTTTTTTTTAAATGAAGAATATTTTCTTATAATTTATTTGTATATGTGGTTGGTAAAAGAGGATGATATAATATATTTGTAAATTTAATTTAAGACAGTATAATAATTTTAACAATTTAATCTTACCAAACAATGCGTAAAGATAAAAAAGATAAAAAGTTTAAATTATTGTTATAGTTAAATGTAAAAATAAAGTTAAGTTTTAAAGTTATACAACATATAAAATGACGAAATTATTCAATTACAGCATTTTGAATGTACTAAATAATAAACACAAATATTTTTAATTTTTAATAAAAAAATAATCTTATTATTATTTGAAAACTAATATATTAAATAATATTTATTCATGTAATAAAATTTTATGATTTATAGTTTTCTCATTGGTTGTATATAAATTTTGTATTAGCATTGTAATTAATAATTAATGTAATAAATTTATTATTATTATTATTTTAAAATATAATGACTTACACATACATTTTTCAAATTTAGTGTATATTAAATATTCATAAGCAATTAAACCTCTCATATTCATCCTAATTAATATTATTTATCAAATTTAAATACATTAAATTTCAGAAAAATGAAATGATAAGACTTTAATCGCAATTAATGTAGTACATGCATATAACTTAACAAAAAAAATATATATATACATGCATATAATATTTCATTTAATTTATTTTTGTTACTTTTCTCATGTAATTATTGTATTTTATGATTATTGTTAGTGTCCATTTTTTTCAACAAATTTACTAGCATTCAAAAGTAATAAACACCAACCTCTTTTTAACTTTAGAAGAGTTATAAACTTATATTTTAATATATTAAAATTCAGGATATTAAGGAGATGATTTAAAAAATATCCACATTGTTGCCTTTGATCCTTTATTGTAAATATTTATGTTGAGGCTAATTTGTTAGATTTTTTATCTTGATTAAATCGGTTAGTAACATTTTTTTAGGTTGTTAACCTAGTATAACTCTTTTTTAGTCGATTTTTATAAAAAAAATAAAATGATATCTTTAATTATAATTTTATGTTTAAGATACAAATCAAAATTTGATCTATAATTAAAGAACTCGAATGTTAAATCACTTAACTTAATGACTTTTAATAAATCGGTAAAAATTCACATAATGATTCACATATGTCTAATAAGAACAATTTACTCTTTATAATCCAAAAATACATAGTTAGTCAACTTAAAGCACATAAGTGCAAAAAAAAATTATGTAAATTGTCTTAATCGGTTTTGAGTCCGGTGGATAAAATAATAAAATATTATTAACATTTTTTATAAATAAAAATTTTAATGCGTGTTATAGGGTGGTTAGCTAGAATTTGTAAATTAGGTGATAATTTGTGGTATTGTATTTTAAATAGCACACTGGACCCAACTGTTGAGGCATTGATCCAGAAGAATAACATCAAAAGCGACTGTAGAGACGTACTGTCTCTGGTAATGGCCATCCCAAAAAGGTCAAACAGTTCCTTTCTTCACCCTCAAACAAGGAAAAGACATTATCTTAGGTCGCCTGCACTGCACTGCACCCATAACTTCACTTCTCTAATCCATTCCCCACTTTAGTGCTTGTCAATACTTCACTTTATTGCTCTCTATATTCCAAACTCTCTCTGTCACTCCACTCTGTCACACATTCAAATATCTTCCTTCACATTCTCACTATAACACTTGTTATCCCTTACCCTCCCTCTCAACACTTTTTAACCCAACCCGTTCCTTTCGTGAGATGGCGACAATTACCACCCATGAAAAAAAACTGGAACACCTGAAAGAAGAGGAGGAGGAAGAACAACAACAACAACAAGAAGAAGAAATAGAAGCATTGTCACTCTGCGATCTTCCGCTCGACGACCAGGACCCATCAAAATCAAAACCTGCAGATTCTCGTGTCATTGAAACTCAAGAAGATTTTGATTTCCAATTATGGGGTGCCCCCTTTTCCGCAGAATCAGAAATGTGTGCCGCAGATGAAGTTTTCTTTCAGGGCCAGATTCTCCCCTTGCGCTTCCAACAGTTAAAGCGATGCGAATCAATGTCCGAGTTTCGTAGCAATAGCAGCAGAAGCAGCAGCGTTAGAAGCCAAAACTCGTCTAGTAGCAGCTACAGCTACTCCACCACCGCCACTACATCCCCAAGAATTTCCAAACCCAGAATTCAAAATCATCTCCACTCGCATCCAAGTCCTCTACCTCAATTGAAGGTAACCCTTCCAAGACAAACAAGCTTCGTTAATCACGGTAGAAAATCATCATCAGCGTGGGAGTTTTTCCGTCTCGGCGTGGTGCCTGCACCTGAAATAGCGTTGCAAGATCTCAAGGTTCGTGGTACCAATAGTGTCAATAAAAATTACATGGGTCGCAGCAGCAACGTTAATTCTAGTACTAATAGCACCGTAAAAACGAGTTACCGCACTGATCACATCGGTAAGAAAAATCACGTTTTGGAAAAGTTTGCTGGCATAGGCAGTGGTTTTTGGAGTGGCTGCAAATGTTCCGTTGAAACAGTGCAATCGGACACGGTCATGATTAAGAGTGGCACCAAAAGCAGCAACAAGACAGAAAGCACAACGTTAACGCACGCCACGAAAGAAAAAGTGGTCGAAAGGAAGAGGCAGAAGCACAGAAAGAGGACCATGTCGCATCGTCGAACGTCTGAATGGATAAAGGAGCTTTCGCATGGAAGCTATCCCGATGATGAGGCTTTGTTATCTAAATCTTGAGTACTTTAGCTCACCTATGCTTTTAATTTATTTTTTTATTTTTATTTTATTATGTTAGATTAGATTGCATGCCTTTATAGCCGCTGGCTTTTGTTTCGTTTCCTTTATTCTGAATTGAAACTACATCATTGATCATCGTAGTGGAGACTCTGTAATCGAAATTTCTTACCCTCGTGAGAATGATAGTTTTGCTTTTTCATTTCTCTTTTTGACTGATGGTGATTGATTGTGTGTTAAAGATTGAATGTGTTTCGTAAGATATTGCGGGTGAGTGAGATCCGTGTCGAGTGGCGATGGTGGATTATAAAATGATAAGGCATGTTATAAGTAGCCATAATTTGGTGCTTATGCTTGTCATGGGTGAAGGAACTTCGATGCTTAATGATTGGATTAGTTGATTGGATTTGGATTAGCTCTAAAGTAAATTTTACTCAGACTACTGGTTGCCATTTTTCTAATGATATTTTCATATCGAAAAATTTATCCCCTTTTATATATATTTTAATAATAAAAACATACATTTCAACAATTTTTTTTAGAACTACACAATTTTTATTTTTGAAATAAGTATGATATAAATAAAACAGAAAGATTTTCATGCGTAAATACTTTTTTTTACTGCCATGTGTATACGAGATTCTTTTAATTGGACCACACGAATTAAGAAAATTAATTAGTTTAATAAATAATATTAATTTTATTAAAAAATAAATTGTTAGTCTTTTAAATTTGTCCTCAAAATTTTTGGGACCAATCATCTCACTCATTCACCTAATTAATTAATGTGTGGAGAGAGCTTCTAGATTAGTTGCTAGAGTAAAATGCATGAGATAGTTTGTTTAAATTTTTCTTAAAAGCATTTTAATAAAATAAGTAATTTTTTTCTTCTTATATTTGTCTAAATTATTTTACAAAAATGTTTTTTTTCTTCTCTAAAAAGCAAATCAATTGTAAAATCTTAAGTAAAGTTATATTAATATGCGACTAATTATTTTATCTAATATTTATATTTTTAGTTTTTATTATTATAATTTGTAATATTTATTTTTCATTAACTAAATTTTTTTGTAAAGTAATTAAAATATTTTATTTTATTTGTCATATCTTCTTTTATTTATTTCACCCAACAGAATGACAGCTTATCTAAGCCCACGAAGTTGAAATGTGGGCTGATGATAAACACACCTCCACTCTCGTATAAACACACCTTCTTTTAAAAAAATATATATATAATGTCTAAATTACCCTTTTAAAAAAATGAAATTCCTAAATTTACACCTCCCTTCCCCACACCCCACACTCCACACCCCTCTTCTTCCCAAAGCTTCTTTCCGCTCAATGTCATTAAGTAATATACTTTTACAGTCATTCTGAATAGAAAAAAAGGACTAGCCCCACCATAACCAGCATAAGAAATGTTCTTTTACAGTCATTAGCATTCCGAAAAGTACTTTTACAGTCATTAGCATTCCGGAAAGTACTTTCCGGAATAGTAAAATTATTGTTCATATAATTCCGGAAAGAACTTTCCGTAATAGTAACTTTAATATTATGGAAAGTACTTTCCGGAATTATGTAACAAAACATTTCCGGAAAATACTTTCCGGAATAAGAATTTAATATTATGGAAAGTATTTTCCGGAACATTTTTATATAATTC